TGAGCAACAGTCATTAACGACCTGGGTGTCTCTGCAGACACATTTGGGCCGAATTTCGGTCAATTTTATGGGCAAATGCTATCTTGAGTGTTCCCAAATTCCCATACTGCGCATGCAGCTTCTGCAGGCTGATACGTGGAGTCCAAGCCCGAGCTCCCAGACATAAATCTAAAGCTGCCCCAGGACCCAGAAAGACAGCGGACCCCGCGTGGGTCCTGGGGGCCGAGTCGGGCCAGCTGGCGCCTCAGCACGCCTGCTGAGAGGAAGGCAGACCCCAGACAGGGCGCTCAGAACGGAAGTCTGAGGGCCTGGGCCTCTCAGGCTCTTGGGAAGCCCCTCCCTCCCTGGGGGGCCCTGCTGGCCACGCCTCACTCGCCCCTTCTTTCCAGAGGGCCAGCGTATCCAGGTGGGGCCATTTTGCTTCTAGGGCTGCATGTCCAAGATCAGCATTTCAGCTCCTGTCTACAGGTGTCTGGGGCTCCCTACTTGTCTGGGGCTCGTGGCTGGCCAGGTCAACCACTGAGCCTCATCCAGCGCCACTGGGTGACCAAACTCCCTGGCCATCTCGGCCACTGACACATCACCCTTGCTTAGCTCCTCTTTTCTGCTCCAGGACAATTGCACGTGTTGTCCTGCAGCTTGGAAGGCTCTTCTTGCTTTGCTCCCAGCCCACACCCGCTCCCCCCTCCCTGTCACCTGCACAGGCGGTGCACCTGAGTACCAGGCGGCCAGGCCAGACCTCCCACAGCTTTGTCCACTCTGCATCCCTCTCCTTCGTCTGCAGATGTGCTGGCGTCGAATGGGAGGCCTGGCGTGCGTCACTCAGCCTGGCGGCCGGGCACCGAGCCAGGCCGGCTCCCGGACACCCTTGAGAAGTAACTCGTCTGTGAACAAACAGCGCCATCCCTGCTCCTCCTGCTGAGGCAGTGGAGTTGGGACGAGCCCACCGTGTAACCTGGGCACCATGAGCCATCATACAAGTGCCCCAACCTGCAGCCCATCAAGCACCGTACAGCGTGCAGGCAGGACATGCAAGTCTCGCCCCGGCCCTACAGGGCTGAGCAATGACAGCAGTGCAGAGAGTGGCCGGGAGCTTGGGCCCAGCCTGAGTGTGCTCCACGTGTGGACCGGACTCTCCATGGTGGGGCAGGGCGCCGCGCCATCAGCCCAGCGTGGTGACACAGGGCACTAGCGTGCTGTTCCCGTAACGACTGTGGTTCTGGTTCTGGTTTGCTGAGACCAGCCTCTGGGGAGGGGCGGTGCCACCTGCTTCCTGGCCAGTGGGGGAATATGAGGCCTTGGCCCGTGGCTCAGGGTTCCGAGGGAACCGCAGTTCTTGTTGCACTGTGCTAGCACCCTCTCGTGTCAGAAGCTTCTGGCAGGCTCCAGCTGAGGCCTGAAGTCTCCCAGAGCTGGAGGGGCTGGAATGGCCATCCATGCTCAGGAAAGGCCTGCTGGGGACACCTTCTTCTCCACCACCGGGGGCCAACTTGGAATGCATCTCATCACCAGAGCTAGGACACAGGGTCTGCCTGGCATCCTCTGAAGAGCTGGCGCCACCTCTGGATTCCCGCGGCTCCTTGGCCACTAGTGTTTCTCGCCCTCCTCCCTCACTGACAAAGCCACGTGGCACAACAGTGGAAAATGCTAGAGGTGCATGCTTTCCCAACATGCCTTGCACCGGCGTGGCCATGGCAACCCAGTGCTGACTGCAGCAGCTGTGGGCAGGGACGCTTCAGGGGCCGCGGACTCTGAGGGCAAAACCCAGCCACTGTGGCTTACAAAGCCAAAACTATTACTATCAGGCCTTGGAGGAAAGGTCTGCCCCCTGCTTCTAGGACACTTCACTACTTCCCAGGTATCGACACGCGGGCTCCCTGGCAGCAGACACATTTGTACATCTGACTTCTAACCTTTGATGACTTTTTCCCTGGGCGTAAAATCTCAGGGATGGAATTAGGAGACCTTGACGCAAACATCCTTACAAGGCTTTCTACTTCCCTACCTGGATCCTCGTGTCCTGTGACACTTCCTAGGCGACCCAAATCCAGCTGCCGAGCAAGCCGGGTGCGAGTGCTTAGGGCATCGGCTTTGGATGAGAGGTGAGGATGCTCACTGATGTTCTGCCTTTCCCCGAAGTCCAAGTGTGAAGGTGCCGGAGCTGTTCACAAGGGAGCCCTGCACGCTGTCGTCCTGTAACAGCCTCTTCCTGAGAAAGGGGTTATCTGTCTGGAATTAGCCTCTGCGGCAGACGGGCCGCGATCTCTGAGGAATGCAGCCCCTCCAGCCTCAGAGCTAACTCTGGGAGACTAACTCGATCAGAGCCACTCGGGTTGTCCCCAGCCTGGGTACCAGGAAGAGCCCATCAGCTCTGCCCAGACCTGTGGCCCCTCGGGGACGCCTGGCCACCACCGGGTGGCTGCAGCACCATAGCTCTGTGTGCCGTGGCCACAGGGCCGTCCACAGAGACAGACACCTCAGAGAGGCTGACAGGTCTGTGGCAGCCGACCAACAGCCCCGGGCGGGGGAGAGAACACTTTGGGACTTGTTCACACTGTGCCTCAGGCTGACCGGAAAGACTCGTCACAGTCACTCAGTGTCAGGTCCTCCGCCCAGCTCCACCCCTGCTCTGAGAGGGCTGCAGGGTGAGGAAGGCCCTGGAGGATGGGTGTGGACGGACTGACTTGAGACCCCACAGGTGCCCCAGGGACAGGTCCCACCTGTGTGGCAGAGCTCTGTGTTTTCCCGGGACTCCGATCGACCACGTACCCTGCGTCATCACTGAGCCAGGTGGGACGGCGTGGGTCAAGGACCTCTGGCCCCTGCTGGCCCCTGCTCCTATCCTGGGGCCTGCACACCCTGCCTCAGCCTCCAGCCACCTCCATCCTTGCAGAAGCCCTCAGGTGTCCTCTCCTGGAGACCACGCAGTGCTCCCTCCCCTCACACACCGGCTCCTCTTACCCCGCAGGTCCCCACCGTGACTCCAGCACGATGGGCGGTGATGCGGGCACACTCTGGTTTTCTCGTCTGTGTGTGGAAACAGGAGCTCGGCTTCAGCCAGCGTCTGACAGCTGCAGGCAGTGTGTGGGTCACAGCAGCCAGCCTGAGCCCTGAGCCCTGAGCCCGCCTCCCGGAAGGACAGCGGGTCTGCAGGGTTACTGTTCCCGTGGACGCCTGGGCCCTTACACCTCCAGCCTCCCACTTCCATGTGCAGTAAACCAGGAAGGTCTTTGAAAACAGCCCTGTCTGCCTCCTCAAAGGTACTCCTGCGTGGCTTCTACTTTTGATTCCTGTCAGGGACGGCATGTCACTGCTGGGAAGCCAACTGGAATTTTAGAACAGCTGGGAGCCCTTCCCGGCCAGGCTGCTGGCTCATGGATTTAACCAGTGCTGCCTGTGTTCCAAATGAAAAAGTGAAACAGGTTTCATGCCCAGGTTCTCGAACCCTGGGGACCTGGGGCGGTCACACCAGAGGCTGATCCAGCCCTGCCGTGGCAGGAGCCTCCCACCACTGCTCTGTCACTTAACGTGCGCCTTTGGGAAGAGGCTAGAGACGGACAGAGACAGGAAACCGGTCTCTTTGGGGCACCTAGGGCACAGAGCACCTGGAAAGCCAGGGCTGGGTTGCCTTAGAACATAGTGTGCTCCAAGCCGTGCTTTTGTTTTGATTTTTATTTGTATTAGCCCACGTCTGCAGTACAGGATGATCGTGTTCCTTGAGGAGAGTGTATCTGTCCCTTCCCGTCTTCCCCGTTTTTTTTTTTTTTTGTTTTGATTTGATTTTTTGAGACAGGGTCTCACTATGTAGCTGAGACTGACCTGGAACTCACTATGTAGCCCGGGCTGGTCTCGAACTCACAGTGATCCTCCTGCCTCAGCCTCCTGAGTGCTGGGATTATAGCTCTGTGCAC